GCCGCCTCGCAGCGCCGCACGGCCGCGCCGCCCAGCGCCGCCCGCGCCGCCTCCACCTTGTCGTGCAGGCGGCGCAGCGCGAGCTGCAGGCTCTGCCGGTGCGCGGCGCTGTACACGTGTCGCCGCCCCACGAACGACGTGCGCCGGCACAGGCTGCAGTGGCCCGGCTCCGCCCCCTGGCCCCGCCGCGCACGCGCCGCCCCGTCCCGCCGGCCCCGCCGCGCACGCGCCGCCCCGCCTCCCGTGGGACTAGAGGCGTCGGGTTTCGTCTGCGCAGAGCTGGTTTGATGGGGAACGGTCCTGCGGCGGTCGGGGGGCTCGCTCGCCCGCCCGCCCGCTCCTGTGGGTGTCTCTGAAGGGCCCCGAGGCGCCCGGTTCCCTCTCCCCGGCCCGGCCGTGCAGCAGCGGGTGGCGATGGCTGCAGCCCAGGGCGCCCGCTGTGCTCACGAGCAGCGTGCGCTGGGAGCCTCGTGCTGGAGCTCGTTCCCCAGCCTGCTAAAACCGCCGCGTCGTCTGGGCTCCTCGGTGCACAACCAGGCTCTGGGAACCCAGGTGCCTGGAGGCTGGAACGATGCTCTTAATGACGCTTGAAAGAGCCCAGATCCAAATCCTTTGCCCTGGCCTGGAGTTGGAGTCTCATATTTGCCTTGGGATATGTAGCAAGCGATTCAACTGCTATGAAATAATTTACTGCAAATCACTTGACTTGCTCTGAGTACTACCATGTTGCTTTCCCCTTCTGTTTGCCGTTGAGCTCTTGTGCAGCGCAAATATGCATCATCTGAGACCTAGCAATTAATTAAGCTCATGGTCACCTGTGTGCATCCTCAATTAATGCCTCACCTATCCCGATAGCCTTGGGTACATGCACAGCACCAAAGGGGAGGCCTGTCCAGGGAAAGCACTGTAAGCTGCTCATTCACCGCTTCCACAAGTGGCTCGCAGAGCTGCAGGAAGAGGGTGCTGGGCAGAGGTGGTAGTCACTGCTTCCCAGATGAGGTGATGAATTCACCTGAAGCTGCTCCAGAACCAGTTCTGCCTGAGCTGGGCGGGGACAGGCGTTCGAGAGCCAGTGCAGAGGAATAAAGGAGCTGAGTGGAGTCACCTGTGGCTGGTTAGAGCTCCTTTCCCCTCTCCCTGCAAAGTTTCAGTGCCTGTGGGGAACGATGGCTTGTCTGTGCAACTGGTGAGTAGCTTCCCACCCTCAGAAGCCTCGAGAAGCTGTGCGGGGACCCTCACCCAAAAAAAAAAAAAAAATGAAGAAAGGAGCTTGTTAAAGCTTCCGATGTCTGCTGTAGGGATGGAAAACATTCTCCCAGTGATAAGGTTTACTTTTTACTGAATAGACATTTAAGAGACTTCTACTGCATAAGCAGAGTGAGGAAAGCATAGACATGAAATCTATGGTCCAGTCTATGCAAAGAAACTAGCAGGATTGGGAACAGAAGTGTTACATTTCCAGCATACGACCTAAGAATGTTTTACGTACAGACAGTTACAGCCACAGACCTTTCCCTGAAGTCTAAGGAAAGGCCATTAAGCCTTATTCTGCTTTCAGGGCATTTGAGATTCCAAATCCCATCGTTTTGCATCCTAGGTACTTTGGGTCAAAGCGTACAGTCCCTGAGAATCTTCTTCTGCACTGTGCTTCTCCAGAGTGGGAAGGATCTTGATCAAACTGATACAGTGAATCCGTGATAGCTGAGGTCTAGGAGTGCTGAATCCTTATCCTCTGTAGTTCAGCTAGAATTTTGTGCTTCCCTCCTAAAATCATCTCTGTTCTTCTGGTCACCCTCTAGCATGCCTCAGAAGCAGAGGAGAACAGGCAGCACATCACTAGCCACCATCTGCATCGCAAAGACAGCTGAGACTACTGCAAGAAAGAAGCTGGAGGTGTAGCGACTCGGGACACCTGGATTCCTCAAAGACAGCTCTCCTCAGGTCAGTCCTGTCTGCACAGACACCAGCTGATGGGATGGAAGCCAGTCTGACTAGCTCCTACTGCACTTCTGTAACTGCAAGAACTCCAGAGAGGCTTTTTGAGGTGGCAGATTTCCTGTGTGCGTGTATGCACATGAACATGCTGGGTGCCGTCTTCTAGGAAGGGCTGGGAATCTAGAGCTATTCTTGTTTCTGAAGGCTCTTATTTGTGTATCTAGGCTCACTCACTCCTTCAAACATAGGGCAGCTTTATAACGTTGCTTCTAACGTGGTGCTGTCATTTGCGCGTGATCTCTGAGTCTCTGGTTAATTCTTTAGATGCTGTGTGGCGATCATGGAAACCATAGCAGGAGAAGCAGTGTTTGATGATCGGGGCTGCCGTTGGTAATGTGATAGGTATCTTAGATTTGAATCGGTGTTCACGGGCAGAAATGCTTCGACTTTATTAAAACAACTACCTTGGGGGAATGTTCCTTGAGTTGCAGGTATGGAATACTTCCAGTTCAGGTGAAGTTCCTTCAGTTCAGGTGAAGGCACAGGCATGCAGGCCTCATGGCAGAGCCATGTAGGGTGTAATCTGCTGGGTGTTTGCACATGCAGGCACCCTCGATCGCACTGAGGGGTTCAAGGCAGCCCCGGGACTGCCTGGAGCTAGCACACTAATGGGATGAGATATTATTTTGGGAACAACCTGGGTTCCTTATTCTCAGTAAGGGACCCCTCCAGGCTTGCTGGCCTAGCTGAGCTTTGGGAGGGCTGCTGATGCTTTGGTTAGAGCTGCAAAGCGCTGATTCTGCTATAAATCCCCTCATCACTCAGCTTGTGCAGGGCGGCTCCTGTGTTGCGTGGTCTGGGAAGGCTTCCATGTGTGCAGTGATGTGACTATATCCTCTCTGGTCCTGGCCTTCCGTGAGGCGCAGGCTCGTCTGTGTGGTGGTGCTTGTACAGAAGCAAACACAACAAGGTCTTGGAGCCTGTGCATACAGATAATACCGCTCAAATGCATATTGTGTCCCACAGAATGGTCTCTATAATAGAATAGAGATTAATTTCCAATCACTTTGTATTTTTCCCTGTCTTCCTAATACCGGGTGTACTGCAGCTGCCTGCCTCGTCTTCATGCAGGGTCACTCATGCTGTGTTGACGCTGCTTAGTGGTCCGTGGCTGATGATGATCACACCGTGTCTGTTCTCAGCTACCCATCAATGCCTGTGTCTTTCTTTTCATATGTAATGTAGGTAGATGCTGCTCGTGTCAGAACTTATCTGTAGCCTCCTCATGACCTTACTGCAAAGCAGAAATAGTTGAATACTTGATGATTATTAGTCACACTCAGCAAATAAAGGTTGAAGGATTTGTGAAAACGCCAACCCTCAGGAGGTGGGATTAAAGCCCAGCACGTATTTCTGCCCAAGTGAGCTAGAAATGAAGGTGGATCCTGTCTGGAAGTGAAGGTGCCACTGGGCTGCCTGTGCAACGTGAGGCCAGCCCTAGCGTCCCGCAGAAGTGTCTTGGTAGGGAGAGGCAGTGCATGGGTGCAGGTGAGGCACCGTGTAAGCAGAACATGAGAGAGACGGACCTGGAGCTTCAGGCAACTGCGAGTGTGCTGCAGTGCTCTGCTGCCTGAAATCCGTTCTGTTCCCTGCATGTCCTGACTTCGGGCTCTCTCTGAACAGAGAAACTATTTTTCTGGTGGAGGAAGGGCAAACTTTTACCCCCCACATCCTTAAATGCTGTGAAGTTGTAGCAAAAGAGCTGAACTCAGATCTTTGCCCCTCCTCTGAGATTTTTCAAACCACTTCAAAGTTGAGTGGGTGGATGATTCAAACGAGTGGTTCTGCTGGGCTTGCCGCTCACCTTTCGCGCTGCTCCCCCATGGAACAAAGCAAGCCATTTTCCTTTGATTTCCTCTCTTGAAAGCAATAGGGAAGAGAGTTTGAAATGCTCTGCAACTTTTTTTTTTTCTGTAAATGTGCTCTGATATCTTCCTAAAGTGCTGGGCTCTGATGAGGGTGGATCAGAGGCGCACTGACTCGAGGGCAGTGATTTGAGGGGGGAGACCTCAGTCACAGGGAAATGAGCTCTCAGTCACAGACAGGCTGACGCTCGGGAAGATCCTCGAGCGGCTGAGTTGGCAGATACGCTCCCTTCTTGGTGCCGGTCCTCTTCCCCCACGGGGTTAGCGGGGAAGCTCTGGACAGGGGGTCGCGCGGTGCCGGAGGCTGTGCTGCCCCGGGAGCCTCGTGCTGGCGCAGCTCGTGCAGAAGGGAAGTGGCAGGTGTGGCGTCTGTGAGGTGCCGACAGCTGGCACCCCACAAGCCTGTTATGAGGACAAAGTGCCAGTCGTAACACAGCGAGAAACGGAATCACGGAGACCGTGAGAAGGGGGGACTCTGACGGACTGGGAGGTGCGTGGCAGCGTTTTCGACTGCCCTGGCTTCTCCCAGCTTGGGCACTGTCTCTGGGAGGGGCCTGTTCTGTAGATACACTGGCGTCCATTTTGCATCCTTTTTGCCAAGAAGAGATGTTGAACAGTAGAGAACATGCTGCCAATGTCGTCTCAGTTGGGAAAAGGAACGTGAGGATCTGTAGACACTGCAGCAAATGCCCAAGATGTGCAGTGCGTTGCCTGTCTGTGTGAGGGGCACTTCTTGTCACGAGTGCGAGGCTGCATGGAGGTGAGGGCAGGGGAGCAGGGCCTCTCTTAGTGCTGCAAGTTCATAAGCTGCCTTCTGGGTGCCAGAGCTGGGGGTGCTGGAAGAGCTTTATGCACTTGGATATCATTTAAAAGCAGACAGCAGTGCAGACCCCCTGTGTCGGGTGAGGGCATTTGTTGCACAGGATGATGCTGATGTAGGGGTATGACCCTGTGCTATAAGATCTTTGCTTGTTATCCTGTGGTGTTTGCTGCACCATACTGGGGCGCTAGCACAGGGAAGACCACCTACTGCTCAAATCAGCAGCCCGCCTTGTGCCACGTCTTGGAGATCTCTTATCCAAGTGCAGACAGCTGGTCTCTGCTCCGCTTTCGAGATAGCGAGCTCACAGTTTGCAGCAGTGCAGCTGCACTGCCAGGGTGTGCAATGTTTATTCAAGAGATGCCGCTCATAGTTGCAATGCTTGGAAACACTGGGATGCTTAATGCAGAGGGCAATGAGAACGAAGCAATAGGAACTGGTCGTGTTGAGAGAAATAACACGTGACACACTTCAGGCTAAGGTTAATAAGTCTGGCCCCTGTTTTTTTCTGGTGAGACAGACCATGTCTTATAGCCCGTGACGCTCTCCTGCCTGCTGCGGAGCTGCAGAATCAGGAGGAAATCTCCTCCTGTCTGTTGGTTCAGTGCTGCACTGGATAGCTGCTTACCGGGCTCCGTGCTGGGCAGCACTGCCAATCTCAACATGTTAAGGCTGTGTTGGCCTCTCCTTCCCTGAGGGCAACGACTGATGCTACCATCACGTTCCCCGTCTCAGAGCAGCGTGACCCACATATTGGGGCGCAAGGCTTCACGCAGGACGTAATTCAGTGTGATGCAGGCTAGCTCTTCTCACTCGTGAAGAGTCCCTGAGATCCTGAGGGCCACTTGGTTGAAAGTTTCGTCGGCAGAAAAGATCTTTTCTTCCTACTGCTCCTTGAAACGGGGATGTTGTGTCTTTAAGGCACCCCCTTCGCGTTCCCCTAATACCTCCCGGCCTCTGAGTGATTCCAGAGGAGAGGATCAGGCAGGAGTTGAAGGCATCGCTCCCTGCCCTGCTGCACTGCTCACTTACTGCTCCGAAGGCTGTGCTTTGCCGTTGCCACGGAAACCATTAGTTGCTAAGCGACTGGAGCATCATCTGTGCTGAGCCCTCGCATCTAATTATCCCATCACAGTGGCTGAGAGGGGCTGGGGGGGCGAGGGGGGATTAACTCTCCTACCATGGCAGATCCATTGACAACACTTTAGTGGCATTTAAAGGGACACTGCCTCCTTCCCGCAGCCGTTATCCACAGTCTGCTGCTTGGGAATTACTTGGTTCTCTCGCATCGTTTTAGTATGAGGAGAAGGATAGGTTTAAGCAGGCAGCAGAGATGCGCTCTGTGCTCGTGGCACTCTTGTTGCTCATGCCTGCAGTCCTACCGAGGATTTCTGCAGCTTCTTTGTGGCTGCGTTATGCGTGATGTGCTTAGGTATATCTTTGACTAGGGCAGTCCTTGTGCAGTGGACTCCGCGCTCAACTTCTAGTCCTTCACTCGTACCCTTTCTTTGTGCTGTGATCACGTTGAGTGTTGCCTCTATGTCGCTCCTGTGGCCCCACACCCCAGGTTGTACATGCTCTGTGAAGTGTCGCTAGCTCTGAATAGCTTAATTCTTCCCGCTGTCTGCTTTTAGAGATGGCCCAAGCACAGGCCGGACGTGTGCCTCCAGCCTTTGCACTGGGGACACTGGGGATCAGTGTGTTTTTATGCTGAGTCCCACTGGAAAACAAGTGTCTGCCACGTAAGATGGCACTACAAAACGCTGTTCCGAAGAGATTATGCAAATCTCTCCGGTTTTGTTGCCTCTTGTAGGATTTTCTCAACGAGGCGGTTGGTGGGCAGCTCCCTCTTTTCCGTCTGCCAGCAGACTAAGGCAAGCATTACGCAACTTGATATTCCGTTCATATTGCCTTGCAGCCAGGAGGGCTTGATATTTATTCCTCATGGAGACGCAAAGTAGCAGCTGATGAAGAGCTCATTTCCGGGACCCTGTAACTGGACAAATGCAACTGCCCACTTCTGAGTTTTGGTAGGCTGCATAAAACAATCAGTCCGAGAGCTGATCCTGGTTTCGAGGCTGTAAATCTAGGAGCGACGTTACGCAAAACTCTGTACCCCCATCTCGGCAGGTTGCATCAGGCTGAGATTAGTGGAGTCGGTAGAAGAGCGGTGCACCTACCGCTTTGGCTTCCCGTTAGACACACTGTCTGCGCTTGCTTGTCCATCAACCTTCGCCACAGTGAGACTGCAAGCAAGCCCCGTGCTTGTATGAACAGCTTCTTGCCTGCTCTCATCTGGCTGCATTCTCAAGAATTTTTCAGTTTTTACCTTCTCCCGACTCAGGGACACCTCCTGATCCTAAGGGGATCTCTTTTCTAATGGCTGCATCTGTGAGCACCTGGAGGTTTGGTCGAGAGGTTTCCAATGTTTTTATCACATAGGTCTACGAATCAGCCAGATTTGAACACCAAGCTTCCTAGAAGTGTTTGCAGCGCCCTGTGTAAGCACTGTTTGGTGATGGGTCTTCTTTAGCAGCGAAGGAGCCACTGGCTACATTTTGAGAAGGAATTCAGAAACGGTCCCCTTAATTTGCTGTCTTTTTTTGTGCCTCCTTGCATTCTAATTCCCTTCGCTGTGGCCAAAGCCTGCCGGCACCATCTAGTCCTGGCAGTGTGTTGGTGTTGTGCCAACGTGTTGGCAGCGCTTTCACTCCCATCCCCGGCACAGCACCAGGATGTGCGGCTCTCTGAGCGATGAGGGACCAGGGGCTAGGAGGGATGGGTCACCTCGGGAAGGTGGATCAGATGTCCCCCTCCCTACTGTCAGGGTGGGCTTTGGAATGAATGTGGGAAGGGGCAGGTGGAGGAGACGCACGTTGTGTCTTGCAAACAGGCAGTGTAATAGGAGCCCACACGTTGATGAGGAGCTGGAGGGCAGAGGAATGGATGGATTTCTGCCTCAAGTCTCATTGGTGTTGGGAATTGGGCACTTTGCATAATGCTCATGGATTAGGAAGAGTGATTTTGGAGGAGAGGAAAGCATGGGAGATGGGGATGCTGTAGAGGATGTGTGAGAGTAGGGAAGTCTGTACCTGTGTAGAGAGGATGTCGCAAGTTCGGAGCGTGCACAGGAGCAACGGGTGAAGGCCTGTGGCAGCAGGTGCCCTTCAAGGAAGCAGAGGATGACTTTGTGCTTGTTAGCAAAAGTGAGAGGAGGGTTGTGTGTGTGTGTGTGTGTGTGTGTGTGTGTGTGTGTGTGTGTGTGTGTGTAAATCAGGAATGATTCAAAAGTGAGCTGGCCATGTGCTGGGGGGTTGTGGGGAGCAGGAGAGGCAAATGTGGCAGCCACTGACTGGTGCATGAGGTCCCAGGGTCAGCAGGGGTAGCCCAAAGCTGCTGGGGCTACGTGCGGGATGCCAAGGAGGGCAGAAGTGCTGCAGCCCAGCTCCTGCTGCGGAGCCGATCCCAACGCCACCGATCCACCAAAGGGAATGCAAGAGCCTGCAGTGGCGGAGCGGGCCAGCTAACGTGATCCCACTAACGTGAACGGCCTTGATGCGGAGAGCGGAGCAGCCTCCGAGCTTCCCCACCGGGCTGCTCACGGGCTCCTCGCTCTGTGCGAAGCTGCACAGCTTTGCACCTGCACATTCCGCAGTGCAAACACAAAAAGAGCCTCTGCTACTTGAGGGCTCACAGGACTGCTGTGGCTGAATGGGACAGGCTGATCGTAATCCCTGTGGGACCAGCACTACAATCCCACTTGGATTAACAGTGTTTCTATACCCTCTGGGAGGAGGGTGCAGCATGAGAAAACTAGAGCAGACCAATGCACAAATTGAGAAGAGTGCTACAGCTTCTGTCCAACGGTACAACACACTTCATTTATAACACTGTCCTTGTCTATCCCTGGTGGATGGGCACTGTAGTGGAGTGGAACACTGTAACTGCTGACACACGAAGCAATTGCGCAAGCAATTAAGAAGAAGAAACACAAGCAGAGGAGGGAATCTGAGGAGGGTAGAAGGTAATACCTGAGCTGGAGTTCGGCTAGGACCCTGAGTCTAAGAGCCTGACTCCCAGAAAATGGCAAGGGATTTGCAGGGACTTGTTTGAAATATGGTGCTCGACGCCCTAGGGCTCCTCCCGCGCAGCAGGTTTGGCGAGAGATTTCCTCGCCATCGCAGGGCCCGCAGTGTTTGTTTGTAGCACCTGTGTGGGCTCCTTTCTGTGGACCGACCATCACCAGAGCTCCTTGTCTTGTGACATCTGGCAAACCCGTACCTGTGTAGGGGCAGCCGCAGACAGCTGATGCTCATAGGGGAATTTGTCCATTGCATGTTTGCCTCACTTCAGCTACCAAACTGATGAGGTATTTGCATCGACACAGATATTGGCAGGCCTACGTCATACAGGAGTGTACATTGCTTCCCGTTTTCTGGAGGGTAGCAGTTGCTTAAGAGCTCGGCAATGTCTTGCCATGTCCACTGGATTGTACTGTGTTTTTCCCCTTTTCTTTCATTTTATGCACTTTCTCCTTTGCTTTTAATTTCCTTAGACCATCTCAGGTCTTAAAGCATTTCTAAGAAGTGAAGTTAGGAGAGCAGCAGCTGAGGAATCTTGCCAAATGCTCTACAATGGTTGACAGCTCTTTGCAAAACCAGATGGTTACTAATCAAAGGGAGTCAAGTGAGGAGGCTGCACTGGCCTTTCTCTTTTTCTCCTGCTGAAGGAAAACATTCCGGACCTTGGAGGAACATCTTTTTTCACCGGGTGCAGGAACATCCTTTTCCAGCGGTTGTAGCACCTGGTGATCCCTCTCTTTGCTCTGCCTGTGAGTACGAGTATGTTCTGAAGAAGTAGGCTCAGACTGCTTGCTGAAATCCCTGACTAGCTGTAGTTGGAGGCCGGGCACAAATGCAGTTCTGGAAACAAGAGAGAGGAATTTGAAACTCGAGGAAGAGTCCTTGTCCTTCGGAAGGTCTGGGAGCTTCCCCTGAAGTCTCCTATTGTCTGGCAGTCCCAAGGCGGTGCCCTGTAGCTGAGCCTTATCAGGGCACTTGGGAAACTCATTCTTCCTTAGTGTGCCTCACCTTTCACGTAGCAGAGTGCTTTAAACCCTGCCACTCTCAGGCTATCTGTGTGCAAGTGGATTGCTCTGCATGGCTTTTTTTCCTTCATGGCACTGGGAGCTGGAATTTCGGCAAGCTGAAAGGCAAGCACAGTGTGTTTTTCTCTTTATTTTCAAGAACATTTGGTTTCTAGAGCCAGTCTTAACAGATGCACTGTCAACGCTTGACAGTCCAACCTCATGTGGAAGAACTGCGTATGGGGAGAAATGTATTGGCAGCAACAAATACCTCCCACTCAAATTCACGTCCAGGAAATGCAAAGTAGCTTTGCCTCAATTAACTCTGGAGCTGTGGTCCTCCATGGGCTCCCTTTGCAGAAATCCTGCTCGTTTCTCCTGCTGGCATTGTTGCTGAGTGATGAAATTTCAGGGACTTGAATGAGCTTGCACACAGGATTGCTGTGTAAATGTAGAAATACATTTTGATAAGCTACTCTGCTCGGTAACGCTATTGGGAGCAAATTACTATCTCCTGTGTCACTTGCATGGCTCCCAACTGTTTTGCTTTGTTACCGCGATGCGTTGTCCTTGTTCTATCCTACTCTTTGGGAGAAATAAAGAGGAGAGCTTTGGAAGCGACCTCAGCCTTGCTGCAAGCAGTCCTGCCTCTGTTGTGCTCTTCAGTCCCTTTTCCTTCTGCCCATCTGCAGTCTCTGGAGACATGAGTTCGCCCTGCTGCTTTTCTGTCAGACTTTGAGACTCTTAGACATGACTGGCTCGACAGGTTGTGAAGAGCCAAAACAGATATCTCCAACCCAGTTTTTTTTTTTTTTTTTTCCTTTCTTCTTTGCATAGTACCGCTGCAGCATCCTTCACCCCGTCACGGAATATTCATGGAATGGGCTCGAGCACAGTGAATCTGCGCTGTGTCTGCACCCCAGCGTGCACAGACAGGCTGTGCCGCACTGAGGGCGGCTGTAGGCTCTGCTGCGAGGTCAAACCAGATGCGAGCAGCTGATCTCTGTGTCTTTGAGGAAATAAAGCAGAGCAGAAAAGAAGCAGCAAAACCCCAGGAGGTGCTTTGGAGCCTTAATCCTTTCCAGGCAAAGAAGCACCAATAGAAGGAGTATGAGCAGTGAAGGGAGTACCAGCTACAAGGAGAGGCAGAGCTTCTCTAATGCTTTCCCAGTCTGGAAAGGTGATTTCCAAGCTTGGGAATGCTGCTGGAGAGCGAGACGTGGAGCACGGGCTCTCCTGCTCTCAGCTGCACTGGTTTAATCCATCTCACGTGAGCTACTGTGCCTCTCCTGGCACTGCTCAAAGTTTGCTCGCTGTCGCTGCATTTGTTCTGCCAAGTCCGAGTCCTCGCAGAGCGTCATGCAGGTGTATTTTCTTTCTCCTGGTGTCGGGAGGAAAGAGTTTAAGTCTTAGGCCTTGTGAGGTACTTCTCTCGGAGTTTTATGGCCAGCACATTTTTGAGCCTCCTCCTCATTTACAGTTAAGATGTCAGGCAGTGAAAATAATACATTGCATCAGATGTCAGGAGGCCGCCTCAGTCACAAGAAAGGCTCTTGATCTTGTGGCCTGCGAGTGAGGACTGGCATGAGGGGAGCGCTAAGGCTCCCTGTGCAAACACTGCTCTGCTGCGAGGCCACCGTCACTAGGTAACTCTGGAGCATCCCAAGCAGCTGCTGGACAGACACCTCTTAAGGTGAAGAGGGATTTGATGCCTCTCAGGTGCGCAGCACAGGTGAGCTGCTGCCTGAGAGGTTTGGCCTGGTGGGTGCAGGTGGCTTCTCCCTCCCTGTTTGTCCCCTTGATAATCCGATTTATATTCCCTCTTCTTCCTCTGGATCCTGCTGTTACCATGGGAACTATGTTCATAGTTGCATTTCATTGGCTTCTAGAGAGACTCCTTTTTCCCTTTCACCTTATCTGCTTCCCTTTTTCCATGTTTGGATGGGGAGCTGTGGCTGTAAGAGGATGGGGAAGTTGGCCAGGATTTTGGTAACTGGGATGAAGAGGAGCTGGGGAAGGCCATTCGATCTCCTACCCTAGAAGCAAGGATCTGCTCTATCTAGTATTACTTTAATAAGCAGGATTTTGGAAATATGGCAAGGCCTTCGGGGGATTAGAGGAAGTAATTCTGCTTATTGGGCACGCTCCTTAGTCTTTTCTGCATCCTGTAGATATGAAAGTGTGTCCTGGACTCCTACTGTCCACAGACCTGTGTATTTATCATCCAAAGGCGTCTCAAACTACGCGGGGGCTCCCAGGATGCAGCATCAGGATGCTAGGCTGCTTCGGCCTTCCCGCAGCTGTGGCCTCTCGTCCTGATCCCGTGTTCCCCCGTGCAGCGACGCATGGGGACGCGCGGGTGCCCTCCGGGAACAGCCACAGCCGGTGTCCTGGTGGACACGGCACGCGCTGGCCGGGCGCCCGCGGGAGAACCTCTGCCACGAGCGTCTGCGTGGCCCTGCCTGGGGGAGGACTGTGCTGCTCCATTCCTCGTGTTCACACCGTGTAAAGGGCAAGTGTAAACTGCTGAATGATACCTGTGTCATGGATACCAAACGAGGGTCCAAAGAAGAGCCCTCTGTGCAAGGGGGAGTGATTTGATGGTTCAAGTAGCAGCTTTAAGCCGCTCCTCTGGACTGGAGTGTTTGTTTGGCTCTTCATACTCACTGCAGGAAGAAGGTTGTGTTGCATGCTGTGGAAATCTGTTTTATCACTCTATGTCTCCATGTTAAAGCTCTGTTTGGCATTTTTCACTAGAGCCACAGTTTCTCCTTCTCCTCTTAATTAAAACATCCCTTTCTGCTGCACCCGTGCTTTTGCTCTGTCATGCACAGCTCCAGAGACAGCTCCATCTCCTTTGCATCATCTGAGAGAGAAAGTGCGGTTAATACAATAAGGATACGGGTTTTCTAGCTTTTCTTATTTTCCCACTCTGGAGGTGCACCTCAGCATCAGACGTGTGCAGGGGAAAGCTGACTGGTTACAGCGAGGCGACTTTCCCCTTGAGGAACAGGGGTGCTGGACTCGCGGTGCTGCTGCGAGCAGAGCCTCGGGGCTTTGCAGCATCCCCCGGGCGGGCTCTGCTCGGGGCTGGGGGTGCCCGGCCTCGACCTGCGCCCGTGTCGCGGTGAGCGGGGCCCGCCGGACACGCCGCGCTGCGGGGGTGACTCCCGTCA